TTAGTATTTTGCAAAAATCAAACTAGAAAATGACATATAACATTTCAAATTTGAAAATTACGATAAGAACTTGCTGCAGCTAGTAAAATAGTCATATATATGCTAATATTACCCCTGCTTATGTTGAAATTTGAATATGATTACTTTCGAGTTGCGATGCATGAGCTTTTGAAAGACCTTTCGAACTCACACCAAACTTTGTTTTTCCATCTTAATGTTATATAATATTTTGTGTTGTAAAAGGGCTTGTTGCTTATTGGTTTGACGATTGCGGAATAAATGTAATACAATATAATATAAACAACAATGTAAGTAAAAATATAGGAGAAAGTAAATGAACAAAATTCGTAGAGAGATAATTGTGGAGGTTAGGTATGAATGTTGTTTTTCTCATTAATATTGGCATAGACCGCCGAGAAGTAACAGGTTTAATCTCATTTTGTACTCTTGAAATATATCATTTCGGCACTTTGCACTCTCAAAATACAATAAATCATTCACAATGCACCATGAATTGAATAATAAAGGCAATTTCATTTTTCATTGGTGTTTTTTTATCGGGTGCAAAATAAAAAATAAACCGTTATTTTCGTGAACCTCAAACATAATTTCGAGCAGACAAAATGCGAAAATAAAAATTACACCAGATTATTTAAAGAAACTATATTTTCTTACAAAAAAATAAAATAAAATAAGCTTTTATTACTAAATTATTCGATTGATGGATCTTTTATATATGGGCATATTACAAATAAGCCCATCAGTGGGAACTTATTCATAAAGAGATCCAGACAATATTCTCCTTTACCAATAAGTCCACACATGGTCCAGATTTATGTAAAGGACTAAAATAACCCCTCTTACTTTAATATGCTCCAATTTCATCCTTAACTTACTTTAACTTCAATTTGACCCCAACTTTCACAAATTATTCAATTTTGACCCAAAACTTTTTTTTTTTCACAAATTTTTTTTTTTTCAAAAACTTTTTTTTCCCGCCGGATTCCGGCGTTGACCGGCGGTCAACGCCGGTCTCCGGCGTTGACCGGCGGTCAACGCCGGTCTCGGCGTTGACTTTTTAATTTTTTTTTTTTTTT